GGGGAGGGGGGGTTTATTAATCAAGAGTTGCCATAAATTGCTTCCTGGAACGTCCGGATGAGTCGTGGTCCAAGGAATCCGAGCATCACGAACCTCTGCGGAAGCACGACTGCCTGCATGAGTAACAAACAAGCTCACACACCTCGATGACCACGTCAACTCGCTTCATGTGCTGCAGCTGCATGTCTCTGATGGCCTTGCAGTGTTGATCTGAGCGAGTGGTCTCTGCTCAAGCCACTTCAGAGTACTTGGTGGCCGTGCTGTCCTAGCACACATTGCCCGACTGAATGGTCGACCATCCCATTAGACACTTCGAGCAACGAAAGAGTATCTGCACGAATACACCAGGCCAATGTGATGCAAAGGAGGCTGGGTCAATTCTTTGCAGCCGTTGCTTGAACCTGGTGCCCTGAAGTAGGCTGCCGGCAGTGGTCTGATAGCCTGGCCGCCAATCAATAGGAATGTCCTTGCTGGCAGCGCCTGCAGCACGAAGCCCAGTCATGGATACGAATTGCCGCAACCGAGCTCCGAACTTAATCGGAGGTATCGCTGGTCACCAGCGGCCTTTGGGATGCAACGCCGCAAGGGTTCTTTTTGATGCGTCAACAATCAGAGCCTCTAAAATCTCCTCTGCGCTCATGGATGCCAGCTTCTTCCAAGAGTTCTTCTCCACCTCACGAGTCACCCCAGCAGCTGCAAAACTGTACGAATCCGGCGTCCTCCCTCCCTCAAAGCTGTTGCGGTCGCGCTTGTAGGCTGCACTGCAGAAGTGCATCCGACGCGCCTTGAAGCCATTGATGCCACCCAAGAGCTGCGTGCCTTTCACATCATTGTGTTCGTGGATGCCCATTCCAAGCAATTTGCCCCGAAAAATGTTGCAAAATAGCGAAGATATACACACAATCTTCGGGTCTTCTGCGTTGCTGCCGCAGCTGCCTGTGCTCCCAGTTGCATTTCAAGCAATCGCTGAGACCCTAATGCTCAGTAGATGGCTGTGCATGATGTGCTGCACGTCAGGCCCCGAAGACTGCTAGATGCTCTGCCAGCTATTGGAAGGAAGAACAAGCTGTGGCTTCTGGAGATGATACCGGCGCGACAGCCCAACTTCGCAGAAGGGTCATAGCTATCTAGTTTCTTTGCTACAAAACCGACGAAGCCTGCGCCGTCTGGTCCATGACAACTCTATACACGTCTCAAGTTTCGGGCCCGATTGACACGGTTGACGGGCTCGTCCTGAAATGTTCCTACGCCGGTCGGAGACCATGCCGTGCTGCCGCCGTGTTACTTGCGATCGTGACACGTGACAACTGAAGCTTACAAGCTCGGATGGTCAAGGAGAGATGAAGTCTGCCAGGCCACCCACAGAATGGAGCAGGATGGAGGAACCCGCACATACTGCTGAGACTCGTTACAAGCAGATCTGGGAGTAGTCAAGTACTAACTATTGTATGCTCGGGACACTATGCCCTCTGCAGATTTAGTTATCATGTTTTTGTGCAGAGCATGGCCTGCCAGCTCGAGACGATCTTTCGGGCTCGGGAGATATCGCAGGTTGATCCCGTCCTTGTCAGATCCGAAAGACGATTTCAGACATGATCGCCACGACCTCTCCCAACGTCTCCTGCTCCATTCGCTTGATCAGCTGCGCTTCGTAGTACTTCTTCATCTTCCTGACTGAAGCAAGTCTGTGTCATGGGCCGACAAACTAGAAAACTTGTGCTCAAGTCACGTACATGGGGCCTCTTTACAAACTTGCTGGTCTGCCAGAACGGCTTGTCTTCGATGTACTGAAGTGGCTGATACCTCCGAGCTGCACAATCCGCATAAGCATTGTGTAAGCACTTTCGGCTCACTGTGGTGTCGGAGAGTAAATGCCGAGCTGGCGCTTCAGTCGCCACCTATGCAAGGTCCATTCAACATGGGGGGCCACGGCAACTGCGAGCCTCAGCCTTAGCCATTCAGGGCCCGGGCGGCTCCTTCTCCTTCAGGTGCTTCAAGGCTTCTTCAGGTGACCTATTGTTCACCATCTTCATGAGCTCCTTGCTGGGGACAGATCATCATGAGCCGACTTCCGCAAGAGCAACCGCCAGCTCAGGTCCCAGCGCTGAAAACAGGAACCTTGAAGTCGTCCACGTCGGCGGGCAAAGGCATGCGGTAGGCTTCTGGCATCGGGGGCGCTGCGATATTGTAACGCCGCAACACTTTGCAATAGTTTGAGATGTTCATCAGTATGCCAACGCACACCCAAACCGCTGAAAGAACACCAAACCCTACCACTACAGTCCCAAGAACCACTCCAAAGCATTCCTGCGGCTCCCAAGACCACCCAGGAAACCGAAGTGGGCATCGCACTGTGCGGGAGCACTGCTGGCCCAATTCCCAATACAACGTTGGGATTTGGAGACCACACCAAGCCACCCCGAGAGGAGGCGAAAAGTGCCGTGCGTTCCCTGAGGAGGAACTCCCTAAAAGAAGTCGATTTTTGCCTCACTTTGTCACACTGCTGTTGCAAGTCAAAGCGCCACTGCCAATCTTAATGTGTCAGTGTGACTGGTCAAGCCACCCCACTGGTCCTGCAGAGTCTGCACAGATAAGCACAGCAACGTGCCCTGCATGCTTCCAGGAAGAGCACTCCCGATCTGTTCGAATCACGCCGCCCCACCCTTCTCCAGGCCGTGGGTCTTTCGCAACTGCAGCCCAAGCACTGCTCGCCATGAGTGCTGGTGCCATGAGTACAGGCACAGGGCTGTTCGTCCGAAGACGCGAGGGCACCTTCTTTGCCAACAGCTTGCGACTGCCGTGTGAGGGGTGACCAGCATGTCCGTTTTCGTGTTGCCGCAAAGCACCTCGAACAGCCCAGGCCATCGGCGCAGGAAGTCGTGCGTGCTTTCTGAGCCCTGCAGGCCCGTGGGACTCCGGCAGACCGCACCACAGTGCGAAGCTCCTGGAGGACCAAGAACGCTGTGGCTCACCTTGTCGACATGAGAGGATCCATAAAAGAGAGTAGGAAACTACAAAGAAACATTGCGATGAGCTTCCCACCTCCAGGCTCGGCGCTCGGTGGCTCGCTTTGCTCGTGTCTCGGATGTCTGCAGCTGCCGGGCCGTGCATGAAAAAAAGAAAATTGCCTATGGAAGACAAACAGAGACAGAGAGAGGGAGAGAGAGCGAAGCCAGAGAGGCAGAGGAATAGCCTCCATGCTCTGTGAACCAACGGGGAGCCACGATTGCAAGGGACCAGCGCCATGGAACAAGCTAAAGCCGTGTAAGATCGCTTAAGTTTCTATGATTTCTAGTGCTAGCGAAGCTTCTGAGATCGCACCCGGGCGTCTGTAAGTTCTGAATGCATCGGGTTTCTGTCGGAGTCCCTGTGTCATCATGGAGCCAAGAAGAAAAATTGAGAACCAAAATTCACACTCTTCGACTCTTCGTGTCTCTGTGACCTACGGCCCACTGAACCCTCGAACCTCGACCTTGGCAGGTGGAGGGACCTGTAACAAACAGTCGTTGCCGGCCGGGACTCGGCTCCGTCTGAGGTGGCGGCGGCCGAAGTGACGCTCTGGATCCCCATGGGCCGGCCGAAGTGCACCAGGGTCGGGCCACCGGCCTCTGCGTTTTTCGCCAAGCTGTACTTTTCCCAAGTCGAATCGGCGGCAAAACTGCAGACCGAATTTTTCAACAAGCGCGCAGGACGGTGTCTACGAAGCAGCCGCTAGCAAGCACTCTTTGCACGTGGGACTCCTGCGCCAGGTTTGAGCACAACAGACACACACACACAGAATGGAGATGTCAACTAAAAATGGCCATGCCATTATATTCTGGGGAAGATCTTGAGGGAGAGGAAAAGGATCTCGTAGGGGTTGAAGTGAGTGTCCTGAAAACCTAAGAAACGATTGCAATGACGACTGCAACCTCGGCTTGCCAGGTTTTTCGGCTTCGCCTGGTGGCCATCTGAAGAACATACATTGGCAGTACGTCGACTTGGCGTCCCTAGTCGATATCACAGGAAAGCAGGAAGGTCTTCGTTGGTGCCAGCCTTCTGCGATCCCCTGGCACCCCCTGCCTCTACAATGTGGAAAATCAAAATCCTGCCGAGTCCCTTAGCTTAGAATCAGGGTGTACACACACACACACCCCCTGATCAGAGGGCGGAAAAGAGATCCATGCTGAGCTTGTAACCCGAATCCTGAAAAGTCACTGAAGCGAATCAGTGTCCTGATCATCTTTTCTGGTCAGCCGTGAACGGTGCTGTGCTCTGTCTCAAAAACCATTAAAAACTATCAACGCCTGCATTTACTCTGCTTGGCAAGAGCGACCTTCCGATGACTGGAATACATGTTGCACGAGTTGAAGTGTGCTTGAAACGAGCCGTTTAGGACCCTGCTTCTTCTTTGACCATTCTGTCACCGTGTTTACGTAGGAAATCTAGAATGAGTTGGGCCCTGTTCGGAATATAAAAGTCATCACCGAGGTCCTTGGTGGCGTGCAAGCGACGAAGAAACTCCTTCTTTCGACATGGCCTAACTGTAAGACGAAACTTCTTGGTACCGTCCAGGTTCTGACCTAATCTAGGAAATCGGTGTTTCTTCGTGACTGATGCCTGTTGGTCCTGACAAAATGGTGCTGTCGGATGTGAAACCTGAGGAGGCGAGCGAGGCGAGGCAACTGGCTCATTAGACGAGCTTGACGGCACAGAAGCATGAGACTGACTCCCAGGTTCCAGGTCATTCAAAAAGACCTGCTCGTGGTGCATCTCTGTCGATGCCGAGTCGAGATCAACTGTGTCGATATCCTGTCGCTGTAGACTTGTTGCTTCCACTGGTGTACAGGGAAGACTGTCGAGAGAAGCCTGCCCAACATCCGAGTCAGAAAAGAAAGCAGACTCCGGATCCGACATCATGGTGGTTCCTAAGTCCTGTCTTGAGCACAGACCTATGCAGAAAGCAGAGAAAAGAGAGAGAGAGAGAGAGAGACATGTCTTGTCATGTAGTCCTGAACAATGCAGTCACTCGTATCCCTGAACGTTACAGAAGACTTTCCTGCATGTACCCGATTGGGCAGTCGCATTTCGATCGGAACAAAAAGTCGAAACAACCACTGTGTGGAAACTCTAAACTTCGAGACGTTCTGGAAAGGCACGCAAAGTGAATTAGAATGCAAGTGCCTTATGATCCAGGCGAACTGAATGAACTTCCTGCGTCGGGTCGCTTCACGGCCCTGTACATTGTCCTGGGTGGAGCCCACATACAACGTGGCCTTGTGTAATGAAGGAACCAGGGACACTCGCAGGCGCACCATATGTCGTTGTTGGTGCCATTCCCACGAGTACTCAGCAGGAACTTGCAACTGAGTCAGCGAGTCCAAAATGCGACGAAAAGTAGTGCAAAACATGGGCAGAGAAATCGACCTCAAAGCACATGAAAACCCACATGAATCTGTCGACACTCTTGTGCGGCAAAAAGTGTAAAGAGCAAAGGCAAAATCAAGGAAACCACTGGAGAAATGTCCTGACAAACTGCTGCCTCTTCGTTTTCGAGGCTGAGGAGCCCTCCTGTAGTCACTGAGAGGCTAACAGGTAAGCTCCTGCAATCAGCCGAGTCAGACACTTCTCGACTTCTCGTTGAGCTTGGCTGCAAGTGTAACTGACAAGCCCCAATCCACTGCAATCCTGCCAACTGGTTTCTTCTTACCATCATCCAGTTTGGCACAGGCTGCAACGAGTTCATCCACTGCCGTATCAATCACCTTGTTCTTACCCTTGCCTAGTGCTGTGGAAGCAAGCCAGCTGTTAACACTGCGGATGCTGGTGGCCTGCAAGTTGCAACTTTCAAGGTAGCGAACACTGTCAGGAGTGGGAAGGTACTGCTGGTAAGTGTCTTCGGCTGCAACAGGTCCTGATTCCTTGTTGAAGGGTCCATTCGGGTCGTCCATACCTGGGGGTGGAGAACCAAAAGGAGCTGTGTCCTCGTCCTCCTCGTGGTCCTCGGTGATGGCCGGCATAACGGGCTCAGGAGGAGGTGCTGATCGAGATCTGGTCGAACCTTGGCGACCCTGCGACTTCGGTTCCTGTCGTCGGGGCAAGGAGGCTTGGCCTTTAAGGCGAGCATTCTCCGACTCCAAAGTTTGAAGTCGCATCAACAAGGTTTGATTGGCCTGCACAGGGGCTTTCTTACGAAACTCTTTGACTGGGTCCTCGGCGAGCCTCTTGATGGTGTTGTAACGAGCTGACCAATCATGAATGTCCGACTCCGGAAAGAACTTCTTTTGGGAAGCATTGAGAATGGTAACAAAATCCGTGCCTTCTTGTTCAGCCTGCTCTGAACGAAGGGCCCTCATCAACACTCCACTGAAAATGGCCTCTTGTCTGGAGCGAAAATTCTCCCATTGCACTGTACGACCATGTGCCACCTGCCGTAGAGCCCAGTTAGAAACGCCCCCAGAAACCACCTTGGACAAAGGAACCTCGGAAATGTCCATGCCTGCAATACCCTGTTCCCGAGTGAGTCTGTTGGACACGACGTGCTTCGGAAGGGTCAAGCCATAAAGCTTGGTGGTGTCCCATTCATGGGCGGACGGCTTCCAAGATCGTGGAAACTGTGCAGATGTACCCCTGTGGTCCTGAGGCGATTTGGTACGTGAACGATGTGGGGGTTGTCGTCCTGATGAAGAAGCCGCTTGACTCCTGCGATGGGACCTGAGAGGGGTCCTGGATCGAGAATCCCATCGGCGCGACATCATGTACAGCAACTATGCACTAAAAAGCAGCCGAAACTGAGAGCACCATTCAAGTTGCCGTGATTTTCAAAGACAAGCAAAGCGAACAAACTGCTGCAACATGCAAACTGCACTGTCCTGTGTTTTCTCGCTCCTTCAGGACACGATTCAGTTGCCCGCACCTCGCTGGATCTGCTGAGCATGTGTCAGAGGAACCTGAAAAAGTGGGCGGCCTGATGCATCCCTAAGAGGAGTGAGTTGCTTGGAGACAGCCACCGTGAAACCTACAATAGTGGATCTTCCAGAGTGCATGACATACTTGTGGTCCCTCTTAAAGTGGACCACACCATGGACCACACACTGTTGCTGAGCTTCTTGCCCGCCTCCAGCTTTGAGCACAAAGTGTGTTCCGGTATGCTGGTGTAGCCCTGAGTAATAACTGGGCACTGCCACTTTGCGGAGTTTGTTACGCGATCGAGAATCTGAATGAAGGAAGCATCGTCATTCCAGGGGAGTGGCCTGTGAATAATGGCCAACTGCCTCCGGTCCATCCGCTATAGTAGCCGGAGCTATGAAGCGAGAATGGATCATTCCTTCAGTTCCTGACGTGTCTGAACCATGGGCAAAGCAAAAAAACTGCGTTGTTCAGCAGAAAGGTCCTGATACGGAACAAAATGCTCGCACAATTCGAAGGACCAGTAAACAGGAGCTTTGGACTCAAAGCACTTGACTCGATCGAACATCCGAGTTGCGTCTCCTGTGAACTGACACATCACCGTTGCAAGATATTGAAGCTCAAACGGCGGAGGGAGCTGAACTCCCTTGACAGCACACAAATTCTTTGAGAGCAATAGCATTTCTCTCGAGTGCTTGCTGTGGTGCCGCCTTCAGGATGACACGAGATTGCCAGCTTTTCATGCACACTAACAGCACCCCCCACTGCTCTGGACAAAGTCAACTCTGTATGCACGTCCTGACCACTCGCTGTAAGAACAGGATCTGAGGCATACAGTGGAGGAGCCGTGGGTTTACATTCGATACCTGCTGCTGGAGGAGGTGGAGGTGGTGGTGGTACCGATGCACTGGCCTGCGGGGCGTCCAAACTCACCTGAGGTGGCGTACTCATACGCCCTGGTTGGCGAGAAGTCGCCAAAAGCACTGCCCTGTCTGCAGTGTCATACATGACTGAAATATCCGAAGCTTCATCAGTAGAAGGTGCCTCCACCTCCGTGTGGCTAACAGGAGCCTCGGCATGGCCCGAGTGTCTGTCCTGGGTCCCCGAGGGCACCGCCTGGTCTCGGTATCATTGGCCTGATGACCAGGAACTTCCACAGCACCCAACATGTTCTGTCGTCGTCTTTTCTCCAGAAGAGCAGCTCCTACAGACCCTTTAGGAGTGCGTACAACAACAGGTCCTCGAGGGTGAAGTGAAGCTCCACCGACTTGTCACCAACATCTGAAGGAACTTCAGATGTACTTGAATGAGAAGACGGAGAGGGAATATCCCGTCCTCCAGGGTGGTCCTGAGGGGACCCAGGAACATCAATTCCCTGGCATCCGAAGTCCGGCAAAGGAACTTCTGAAGCTGCAAGTGCTGTCTCTTCAATCGGACACTGCAGAATGTCAACGCCGATGATCGGAGAATCATACTCAGGCTCCATGAATGCAACCTACACTGAAAGCAAAGTAAACAGTGCCAGCCGAGATGCTGCTGTATTCCATGAGCTGACACTGTTCAACGCTCATATCCAAGCTCCCCACTGAGCACTCTAGGACTCGAGAGTCACCATACGACCTTTTGGTCCGGAAAGCCCATCTCCTGTCATATCGGGCACCATTGTTCCGGTTGCCCCGTAGCAGCGGTGAAGGCCTATCACCTGGGAATCTGGCCACCTTCTAGTGCCGTACGCTCCATTAGCCCCTCCCGGAGGAGTACGGCTCTTTCGGTACCATATTGCCCTGGCAGTCCGCAGGAGCGGGGATTGCCGATGGCAACAAGGCCACACACGGAATGGAGATGTCAACTAAAGTTGACCATGCCATTATATTATATTCTGGGGAAGATCTTGAGGGAGAGGAAAAGGATCTCGTAGGGGTTGCAGTGAGTGTCCTGAAAACCTAAGAAACGATTGCAATGACGACTGCAACCTCGGCTTGCCAGGTTTTTCGGCTTCGCCTGGTGACCATCTCAAGAACATACATTGGCAGGTACGTCGACTGGGCGTCCCTAGTCGATATCACAGGAAAGCAAAAAGGTCTTCGTTGGTGGCAGCCTTCTGCGATCCCCTGGCACCCCCTGCCTCTACAATGTGGAAAATTAGAATCCTGCCAAGTCCCTTAGCTTAGAATCAGGGTGTACACACACAGACTCCTTTGAGCAGTAAGAGCAGCATGCATGGACATAATGCGATCCACCATTAGACCATCCTCCGATGCTTGGTCAGCTGCGCCTGTCCGACACGGAAGCTGACATTCAAAAATCGGGCATTAAGTTCTAGCCGAAAGGCCTTGCTGAAGTCTTCGCGGTGTTTTTGGCGGTGGCAAGCAGCACACTGGCAAGGCCAAAAGAGCAGTCATGCGAAGGATGAGTCGGATCTTACACATCCGAACGGGACGCAGGTTGAACGGTGCCATGCAAAAAGCGAAATTCTCAGGTCCACACAGCCTGGCAACCTTCCTCTGAATCCGGAGCACGTGCAACGTCCCCTGCCGCAGCGAACTAGGTCGGGAAGGCCGTGATGGGATCACATCAAGTCGGAGAATACTGAGCATAGTGTATTGCCGACGTTATCTTACGATGATCAATGACCACGACTAGACGAGCGCTTGAGGACAAATTTACATGGCCAGCCAGGGAGAGAGCCCGCATTCTGGGGGTTGGCCTATTTCCCGCTTGATGCATGATCACTTGGTGTGGCAGCGCCTGCTTAATGCGTGGGAGCAATACTAATCAAACTGTGTGTACCTGTGAGGCAATCTTCATACCAAGATTTGTTGAAATGTTATTGAAGCGGTTGTGTCAGCGCTTGAACGCGGAAGGTCGGGCCGCTACAGCATCTGCCTTCTTTTTATCCATTCTCGTCACACCGACTGAGAAGCTGCAAGATTTCGAGCAAGCGTAGGAGTATTCAAGAATCGATCTCCAAAACGACGCATAGCGCATCGAAAACACGGGATGGTGCGCCGCGCGCAACGGCATCCGCGCGAGCGGCCAACTTGCACTTGTGCCTCCCAGCTCCTGGAACAGCTCCCTGAGTTGACGTCTGGGCATATGCCCATGTGGCGGCAGACGTGGAGGCAGTCTAGTCTTGCCAACTGGGCCCAAAACATGCGCCTGGCCAGCTTGCAAGCGGACTCTCTATCCCTCTGCCAATCAGATCGTTCCGGACAAACCACATGTTCTGTTCGCAGTATGGACAAGAACTGTGCGGATTGAAAAATTCCGTCGCGATGAGCGAATATCCTCGCAGAGATGCTTCACGGAATACTGCGTCGACAGATGCACCGTAGGCCCCCTGCTGATCCCTGCATTCACACCGCGGGTCATATTCCAAGTGGAACTGAAATGGGGGCGGGATGTCGTGGAGATCTTGGGAGAGTATCCGCTGCGCAGAATGGTCTGCAGTATCGGCAAATCAACGCTGTCGATATCGATCTTGAGAGCCTCGAAATCACGGGGAACCCGGAACTTCCGAAATAAGACCTTCAAGTTGACAGGGCTTACTCTTTGAATTGAGATAGAGACCTGCTCGCTGCTGTTGACCCGCGCTGAGTTCTGTGTCAAAACATCGCGCCAACTTGGCTCGGCTTCTATTGCTATAGGCCAGCATAGCCCTTTTCGAAGAGTGGGTAGACAGGATCATGATCGCGACCATCCCGGGCACCGATGTTCACGGCAAAGCCTTTCCCGCTCGGCAGGCTCAGGAAGTGATCAGCAAGCATCTGAAAAGGAGGAGCCCTGAGAAAAGCCTTCCAGGAGCTGTCTTCTGCAGATGCGACTATTGCAAAAAGGTCTTGCAACTCCGTCACAAGCCGAACATGCTTCGGAATGCAGAAGCCCAGCCACACGCACAGATGCCAAACAAGGATGCGCCACTGCATCTCACCACATTTTGGGCTGCGGCACTTGGACGATGATAATCATTCCTAGCAGCTGGCATCCCCAGAAGCATCAACAAGCCCTATTCGCATTATTCCTTTGTAAGTTATCTTCCCGGCTCCTGTCATTATTCTGGCAGCCATGCCTGTTGAACCCTGACATCTCACGTGCAACAGGTTTGGGCTTGGACAGGGCCCTCTAGTCTCTCATTAGGCTCCCGATTTGGCCTTTCGTCTCCTGCAAACCTGATCGGTGCAATATTGTGCAATGGACAAATTGGATTTCTTGTTGACTTGGTGATTCAGCTGGGGATTTGGGGGCTGAGGTAGGGTTTCGGTGTGGGCTTCGTGCTTAGAGCTGCAGCAGGCAACAAGCAAAGCCTGCCTCTGTCTGGCTCTGGCCCCGCAGGCCCTCTGGGCCCCCCATGCAATCGAACCTTACCACCCAAATACGTGTCTCTCTGCTTGGCGGAAAGACCGGGGATTCGGCATACCACTCCGGTTCCTGTCCTCTGACCGGGCCTTGGAAATGGAATGAGTAAGCCAGTAAGTGAAGGTTCACTTCCGAATAACCTTCCACGCTCTTCGACATGCTACGAGCTACGAGCAGCAAAAAGGGTCTGACGGCCTTCCGTCAGTGGTGGTAGAGGCTTTTTCCTCGTGGAAGATCGTCAGGCAACGCTGACTTGTGGAAGAATTTTCGATGCATCCAGCAGACTTTTATCGTTCACCCAGCTCCTACAGCCACACTCCTGCACACGCTTATGATACCTACAAGTCCTGCTCGCCCTGCCTTCGCACCCAGTGCGTGCCGCTGCAAGCCTGGCAGTCTTCCTAAGGACGAGAGACATCAGGGAATGCTTTTGAGCATATCAGCAGAGGGTTGAGATGGCAATCTTGAACAGTCACGTACTAGGTAAGAGATCGCGAGAGCACACTCTGCAGACGAGAATGCTCGCGCCTTGACTTTCAGGGTAGAAGGCCCGAGAGCTTCCAGGACGTCCACCAGGGAGGCACCTTGGAACACATGACCATCTGAAGAGCCTGAAGCACCATTTAGTCAATTTAGTCTGGTCATTTCCCAAGCCCGAAATCGACTACAACCAGGCCAAGGGGCAATGCACATCCCTGATACGCGGACACGACAAGATCCAGCGCATCTCGAGCCACCCTGGCTCAGGCTCCTCATCAGCGAAGCACGGAAGCAAGTGACCAACAGCAGATTCAGTGGAGCAGGCTTCACGGTACGTGAAAAGCACTGATCGAATATCCAACAGTCAATCTAATTACGAAATGTCGACGTGAATCATGAAGAAGAATCAACAGGTACGCTCTTCAGAGAGCACAAGCGCCAATGTCGAGCAGCAGCAGCCGCCGCCAACACACAGCGTAGCCCCAGCCCACCCATTAACTACAACACTATTCATCACCAGGCAGCGCAATCTCCACCTCCTCCTCCTGCTCCTCCTCCAGCTGCTCCTCCTGCTCCTGCTCCTCCTCCTCCTGCTGATCCTCCTCCTCGTCCTCTTTCTCCTCCTCCTCCTCACCCTCTGCACCCTCACCGTCACCCTCACCGCCATCACCACCACCACCACCACCACCACCACCATCACCCTGTGTTTCGCTGTCATCTTCGTATACCCTCGCGATACATATCATCAAGAGCAGCCACCAACGCCACCGCCACCACGGCAACAACAACAACAACAACCACAACCGCCACGACGACGACGACGACGACGACGAGGACGACGACAAAAACAACAACCACAACCACAACCACAACAACCACAACAGCAACCACAACAGCAACAGCAACAGCAACAGCAACAGCAACAGCAACAGCAACAGCAACAGCAACAGCAACAGCAACAGCAACAGCAACAGCAACAACCACAACCGCAACCACAACAGCAACAACCACAACCGCAACCACAACAGCAACAGCAACAGC